CCCCAAAACCCCAAAACCCCAAAACCCCAAAACCCCGGAGTTGTGCAAACTATTGAAGATTAGCCAAAAAAGGATCTGAGTCCAAAGGGCCTTGGATTAGGGGCTGGAGAAGAGGCTGGTAAACAAACTTGAGTGGCTTCTTGGGGCTTCTTGGGCCTTCTTTTGATCGGTCTGCCTTCTTGGATTGTTTTGTAGAGATCGGCACTGCAAATGCTTTTGAGAGTCTTTTGGGTTAGCTTCTTCAGACATTTCTTACTTGGGCAAGTCATTTCATAATTCTTGGCTTTTACTTGGGCTCTGATGTACTTTTCGATACAGGTTGGATGGAAGCAGTCACCACATTTTAGCTCTAGGGCTTCGGAAGGGGGAATTTTGCGGCGACATTTCATGCAGGTTGGCCCTTTGGGAGTTTTTGACTTCTTAGAGGTTGAAGATAGCTTCTTTACTTTCGTTAATCTTAGGGTGGTTGCTTTACGCTTTTTAGAGATTGGAGTGGCTTTTCTTCTAACTCTTTTAGGACGCTGGGGTTCTTCAGGGTTACTCTTCAGCTCTTCTTGTACATCTTCGTTAGGGATCTCTCTCACCACTTGGGGTTCTTCAGGGAGGGTGTCTTGCTGTGCAGGCATTTCCTGCAGAGCAGGAGGTTCTTCAGAATTTCTCCTTTGCCTTGATCCATTGGATTGGTTCCTATTTAGCATTAAGCTTTTTCATTGGCAAGTAGGTCATGGATCTTGCTCCTGTTGGGAGGATTTTTGAAGAACTAGAGTTTCGATAGATTTGGCTTCTTCGTGAGGGAGATTGGGAGTAGGGAGAGGTTCTGTAGGGGGAGTATGAGTAGAAATTTTATTATGAATTTTCATTTCTCTTTGAGCAGGTTTGATCGGAAACTCCGCATCCTCTCCAGTTTTCACTCGTTTGCATCAATCTCCTCCCCCTAAACTCCCAGGCACATCTTTCTGTCCCATTCCACAATCACCACCACAATCACTCCTATCACCCTCCACCATCCTCTCCATCTGCCTTCTCCCACCCCACTCCTCCAAATCCCCCCTCCTCTCCCCAATCTCCCCCTTCTCCTCTTCCTCACTCCTCTCCTCCCTCTCCTCACTCTATACTCAGCTAAACCCCCATTCCAAGCCCTCTTCCCAAAACCCTCTTCCCTTCCATCCCAAATTTTCTACTCCTAAGAACAAACTTTTGTAACCTAAGCGAAGAAATTATAAAATTTTGACTGGCTTACTTTTTGGTCGTCTTCGAAGTGGATCGAGGAAGTGGAATCTGACTGGGGATCTTGGGCTAATAGCAATTAGAATTTCAAACACAAAAAACTAATCAACCTACCTTCATTTGCTGTTTGAGCATGATTATTGTTTTGAAGTCCCATCATTGTCTGGATTATTGAATCATTTTGCCTAGGATTCTCCAAAGCTTCACCTTCTCTATTAAACCATTTGAGATTTAACACTTGATCAAGAGCAATCTGTTCATATAGCTCTCTGTATATTCTATTTTGGTCCCATACATCAAGGCTATTGATATCTGCTCCTTCCTTCATTCTCGTTACAAGTTGAATGAAGTCCTCTTTAGAGTAACGATTTCTAAAATTTATTGTAGTTGATGCCCATCAGGAAGGCCACAATAGGGTTGAGGGTCTCTCATCCATCTCCAATCTGCTGCAAAAATCCGAAATCATAGTCAGGATTGGGGACTAAGCTCCCACGTGCAAGTTGTGGATAATTTTGCATTATTTATGATTAATTAGATGTAATCTACCAATTTAGAAGTGTTAAATAGGGGTTTTGGGGTTTTGGGGTTTTGGGGG